CCCACCATCATCGTCTCTATAGTATTTAATTCTGGTACCACTCAACCCACCAAACTCCGCCCACTTTTTCCTCCAAAAATGCCGTCGAGCGGGGGGTATATAGCCACTCTGAAACAGTAAAAATTTACCAAAATTCCCTAAATTTCAACCAATTTACCCCACTTCTACCTATAATCCCACTGCTTCATTTTCTAGGGGGAGGGGAGCCTACTACTCGTGAAAACTCCACTTTCACCACAAACTCACATGTATTTCACGCGACTGAAGCGGATACGACCCCCCCCCCTCCTATAAACTCAACCAGGTACGACCCCCCGTTGTTACTAGTAACAACGTAGGGTTGACCCTGAGTACGGGTATATTTGGGAGATATTCTTGTGGTCTTTCGAAGATAGTAGAAATGGAATACAACATTTCAGCAAAGTACCGAAACTGCGCGCGCATATTTTGCTGGAAACTGGAAAGTCTCCCTGAATGGACCGCAAGAGGAAGCCACTCATTTTATTTGCTCGCGCTATTTTCGCGGGACTTTGTGACGGTTTTGGTGAAACATGAACCGTTCAGTCTGCTGACTGGTCAAGAATATTGCTTTTACAACAGTTTGACATGAACGATGTGCCTCCGAAGTACTAGGATCTAATCCTGCAAAAGCCGTACAATATCCGGATTCTCTAAAAATTATTCGTCTTGGGGAATTCAAAGACTTCCCACTTGCGCAACGGCAAAAGCCTTTTCATGTGAATCGAGGTCTTGCGCCGAATCTGGTGGGCGTGGGCTCGAAAAGTTGAAAATTGTTGCTTATTGATTAGTAGCTCTTTGTTCACAGTCAGTATTGGGACTGATGATCTATTCATCAAATTCCGATTTCCCTAGGGTCGGCTTTATTGTTGTAGTTGCAACATTTCCTAAATCCCCCTCCCCCATTTAATATGAATCCTCAAAAACCATTATACCCGCAGCTCTACAACTCGAGTGTGACCCTTAAAGGCAAAGGTCGGGCTCAATATGGGGTATTATGGCGTTTGAAACTGAGTGTAGAGATGCGAAACGGAACGACAGTGGAGA